GGTGGCGCTGTGGTGTCAACCACTGAGCCTAGGGCTTGCTGATCAAAAGGTTGGTGGTTTGAATCCCCGCGATGGGGTGAGTTCTCGTTGCTCTGTCCCTGCTCCTGCCAACCTAGCAGTTCGAAAGCACAAAGTGCAAGTAGATAAATAGGTACCTTCCAGCGGGAAGGTAAACGGCGTTTCCGTGCGCTGCTCTGGTTCACCAGAAGCGGCTTAGTCATGCTGGTCCCATGACCCAGAAGCTGTACGCTGGCTCCCTTGGCCAATAAAGCGAGATGAGTGCCACAACCCCAGAGTCGGCCATGACTGGACCTAATGTTCAGGGGTCCCTTTACCATTACCTTAATGACACATGTTAATTTATAATTAATAGCCTTATCCCACACCTCATTATACCATTCTTCCATTTTATATTCTGCTCGCCCCTTCCACTTCCTGGCTATAATAACTCGTGCAGCTGTCAATAAATTTGTCAGCAAGTCCTTCATGGCTTGCGAACCTTCCACCCCATCACAAATTGAGAATGATGCTACCTCTGGACTCTCGGTCACCTTTAACCCCGTGATTTCTGCTCTCTCCTTAAACACCCTTTGCCAAAAAGTTGTACAGTGGTGCCTCGCAAGACGAAATTAATCCGTTCCGCGAGAGTCTTCGTCTAGCGGTTTTTTCGTCTTGCGAAGCAACCCTATTAGCGGCTTAACGGATTAGCGCTATTAGCGGTTTAGCGGCTATTAAAGGCTTAAAGGCTTAGCGGATTAGCTGCTAAAAGGCTATTAAAGGCTATTAAAGGCTTAGCAGATTAGATAAAGGGGGGAAAAGCGAAAAAAAAATCTCAAGACTTGCAAGACATTTTCGTCTTGCGAAGCAAGCCCATAGGGAAATTCGTCCTGCGAAGCAACTCAAAAACGGAAAACCCTTTCGTCTAGCGGGTTTTCCGTCTTGCGAGGCATTCGTCTTGCGGGGAACCACTGTACATATTTGCACCCCCACCACATGTGAACGTAAGTCCCTGTTTCCTGGCATCCCCTCCAACATAACGCCAAATATTCCTTGTTTATTTGATTTAATCTGACTGGTGTTAAATACCATCTCCAAACTAATTCAACCATACCACTTTAACAGGAACATACAAAACTGCCTTATACTGAATTGGTCCATCTAGCCCAGTGTTGTCTACACAGACCGGCAGTGGTTTTCCAAGATCTCAGGTGGGAAACTCGCCCAGCCCCACCTGAAGATGCCATGGAGTAGACTTGGGGCTCTCTCCATGCAAAACAGAGGCTCTCCCACTGAGCCCTTGCCAACAAAGGTCCATATAGTAAAAGCTATGGTTTTCCCAGTAGTGATGTATGGAAGTGAGAGCTGGACCATAAAGAAGGCTGATCGCCGAAGAATTGATGCTTTTGAATTATGGTGTTGGAGGAGACTCTTGAGAGTCCCATGGACTGCAAGAAGATCAAACCTATCCATTCTGAAGGAAATCAGCCCTGAGTGCTCCCTGGAAGGACAGATCCTGAAGCTGAGGCTCCAGTACTTTGGCCACCTCATGAGAAGAGAAGACTCCCTGGAAAAGACCCTGATGTTGGGAAAGATGGAGGGCACAAGGAGAAGGGGACAACGGAGGACAAGATGGTTGGACAGTGTTCTCGAAGCTACCAGCATGAGTTTGACCAAACTGCGGGAGGCAGTGGAAGACAGGAGTGCCTGGCGTGCTCTGGTCCAGGGGGTCATGAAGAGTCAGACACGACTAAATGACTAAACAACAACAACCACTGAGCCTACAGCCCTCCACCCAAAGCCAGGATTTCCCTCAAAGAATCCTGGGAACTGTCATTGGTTAAAGGTGGTGGGAACTGTAGCACTGCGAGGTATGTCCTAAAAAGCTCCCAGAGCACCCTGAATGAACTACAGTTCTCAGCATTCTTTTGTGGGAGACAAGGATGTTAAAGTAGCATAAGAGTGTTTTGAATACGTGGTGCGGATACAACCACTTAAGGTCCCGTATATAAATTGCTGAAATACATTTTAAAAAACCAACCGATTTGGCTTCTGCCTGTGCTATCTATCGAGATTCAGGGCACCAGCAGCCACTACAGGCATCAGGAGCTGAGATGGAGACAGATCAAATGGGTCATGTCCACATTTTTATCTATTAACCTCATTGTCTGCACAGATGAGGCGGAAGAACGGATGCAGAAGGTGAAGAAAACCTCTGCATTGTTCACATCCTGTACGGTTTCTCGTGACGGGATTCACTAAACCCTGACCTATTTATGGGGTGGAAAGATCTAAAATGGCAGCCTGCCAGCAATGTGGAAGCTTGTAGCTGGTATTGCGGAGTTGCCTTTTTAAAACAGCTACAACAGGCAATGGGCAGAGAGAGGCTTCATAGGATGGAGTGTGGCGTCCATCATCTACTGCTTGCATGGGGAGTCTTTGGCCCTTCAGATGTTGCTGAACTACAACTCCCATCAGCCCCAGCAAGTGTGCCGAATGGCTGGGGATGATAGGAGTTGTAGTCTAGCAACATCCGGAAGTCCAAAGATTCCCCACACCAGACTTAATAGGTTATAGCAGGAGGGCTGGGAGCTGTTAATTAAAGCTTGGGGAGCAGGGTATTAGGGGACGGCCATGGGTCTGAAAGCCAGAATTCTGGGCCTCAAGTTTTCTCAGTATATGAGAGTCACCCAAGCAGACATTTTCCACCCCCGCATGACCCTGCTATATCTGCGGCCACCACATTGAAGTGAGATGCCAGCAACACTTGGAAACAGAGGATTCTTAAAACTGTGAACTGTGGTCAGGACTTCTTGCTTCTGAGAAACAAAGACAACATTTATTTTTTTCCTGTTCATGCGCAGGCAACGAAAACCAAGTGTGGACTGCTCACTGTCACCTCTTTTTCCTTTCTGAGGCTTAGGCTCCATCTGCATCGTACAATTAAAGCAGGATCCTGCCACTGGGTAACAGCCGTGGCTTCCCTCAAGGAATTCTGGGAGCTGCTGTTTGCAAAGGGTGCTGAGAGCTGTTTGGGTGCCTGCATTCCCCTCATGGAGCTACAATTCCCACAGGTCCCTGGGAGAAAGCATTGGTTGTCAAACCATTCTGTAGATATGTAAGGGGGGGTAGGGAGCACCTAGCAACTCTCAGCACCCTGAGAGTTCTGCCCCCATCGTTCTGCCCGGACACTGAGCTCCAGCTCCGAGGGCCTTCTGGTGGTTCCCTCCCTGTGAGAAGTGAGGTTACAGGGAACCAGGCAGAGGGCCTTCTCGGTAGTGGCGCCCACCCTGTGGAAAGGTCTCCCAGCAGATGTCAAGGAAATAAACACCTATCTGACTTTTAGACGACATCTGAAGACAGCCCTGTTTAGGGAAGTTTTTAATGTTTGATGTTTTGTCGTATTTTTAATATTTTGTTGGAAGCCGCCCAGTGGCCGCCCAGTGGCTGGGGTATAAATAATAAATCATCATCATCATCATCATCAAACCACAGATCCCAGGATTCTTTGAGGAAAACCGTGGCTCTTGAAGTGTTAGGACACTGCTTTAAATTTATAGTGCAGATGGGGTCTGTGGGATGTGAAACACAAGAGCAGTCAAGTACAACATCCCTAGAGTGGACATAAAAGGGGATGTCTGGACCAGTCAGTCGGAACTTCCTGTTTCTCCTAAGCTGGGACAGACTTCCTCTGCATGTGATTAGAGGTGGGTGTGACCTCACCTGCCCAGGTAACAAAAGAGCAGGACTGGTCAGCCATCTCTCTCTCTCTCTGACCACATTCGTCGAAGAAGCAACATCTGCTTAGCCTAAGATGCTCTCTTGGCTTGCAGCCAAGAGAGGACAAGGGAGCTGTCTCCTTATGGGATAGTTTCCAGGTGTATATAACTTTTCTAAGCTAAGTCTGCCTTCTGGGATCCAACTGTGAACAGAATGTGTGAGTAAACTCTTTTTATACTTCTATAGAAGACTGTGTCGTGCCTATCTTTTTATGAGGGACTAAATGGGGAATTACCTTTAAAATGTGTTTTAGAAGCTTTAGCAAGCCTGAGCAAACGCATCCGCTGTGTAAGTTTAAAAAGGGGATGTTACTCTGCTAAATTGTAGAACTTGTTAACACAAGTTGGAAAGGATATAATCAAACAATATATCCTCTCCTGCATCCCTGAACATTCCCACAGGGTCTTAGTAAATGCTTCACATCATTATGCAGAAGCCAACTGTGATGGCCTGGGAATCCGATTCAGAGGGTGAACCGGAGGAATCCCAGCCTGCACAGGAATCCCCGCCTCCAGGGCTGGCTGAACTGGGGCAGGGCCTTGATTCTGAGGCGCCTACACCTGTGCCGGATCCTCAGGAGCAGGCACCAGGTGAATCCATTCTGGCTCCAGAGGTGGTTGAGGACTCAGTGCCTACAGGTGAGTCTCCCCCTGGGCCCAGTAACCCTTCAGCCTCTCCTGAACTGCAGAGGCTCAGGGCAGAGAGGCGAAGGGAACTGGTTTCTCCCAGGAGGAGTGCTCGCCTTAAGGCCAGGAGAGGCGGGTCTCCTGGGGGCTGGGACCGCCCCTGGCCTCAGAGAAGATAAAGGCCAGTCAGCCCGGTCCCAGGTTGCGGGAGCAACGTCGTTGTTGAGTACCTGTTCCTGCCCGGACCCAGACCTGACCCTCCAGTGTTCCTGTCCCCACCCGGCTTCCTGCTTCGGACCTCGCCCCGCTCCTTGTGAACTGTTTCCAGGCTAGTGACCCAGGACCGGACTTTGACTACGCCAACAGTAACCTTCCCCCCGGGACCAGCACACCAACTGGCAGGGCTGCTGAATCTTACTTCAACACTGGAGATGAGGCAATAGCGTCAGATTTACTTAGCAGCTAAGTAAACTACAGTTCAGGACCTCATGTTATCAGGGACTGTAAACACAAACACCTCACTGTTGGTCTCTGAATGTCTTAACTTGGGCAGGAGGCTAGTTTAGGGAGCATGGGGCAATCCGCATGGCACGCGCTGCTCTTCCCAACATTCCTCAATTGGTCAGAGCGTGGTGCTGATAATGCCAAGGTTGCAGGTTCAATCCCCGTATGCGACAGCTGCACGTTCCTGCGTTGAAGGGGATCGGACTAGATGATTCCCCAGGGTCCCTTCCAATTCTCTGATTCCATCTCACTGCCACTCCCCAATCTCTTCTTCCTAAAATGGCTTGCCTCCCTCTATCTAACCCATGGGTAGGCAAACTAAGGCCCGGGGGCCAGATCCGGCCCATTCGCCTTCTAAATCCGTCCCATGGACAGTTCAAGAATCAGCGTGTTTTTACATGAGTAGAATGTGTCCTTTTATTTAAAATGCATCTCTGGGTTATTTGTGGGGCATAGGAATTCGTTCATTTTTTCTTCAAAATATAGTCTGGCCCCCACAAGGTCTGGGGGACAGTGGACCGGCCCCCTGCTGAAAAAGTTTGCTGATCTAACCACTGGAAATTTGAGGGTTTCTAGCCCATGCAGGAATATCCAACAGGATTTCCCTATCTCCTGGGAAGGAAACCGGTAGTGAACCCTTCACACCTTCTGAGATAGGTTTAAATAAATCTAAGGAAACCAAATTATTGGGATTAGCAACAGGGACCTAGAAATGGGTCACAGTTCTGTTACGTGCTTGGAAACCTCTGTTGCGGTGTTTGAAAAGGTGCCTGTGGAGCCAGCAAACCGCCAAAGGCTCGATCAGGATGTCATCTTGACACCCCTGAAGGGTAACATTTTCCCTGCACAGTTCCAAAACGAGTCAGCCCTGATCTATTTCTGGGGTGGAAATGTTTTAAACCGAAAGCCACCATGCTAGCAAGAGCTGCCCCACTTGCCTTTTGGGCAGCACATGTTTGCATTTTATTTACTATGGTTCTTTTGACGCCTCTTAACTGTTCACCTGCTTGTTAGAAGAGATTTCCCCCCCAGAGGAAGGGATGCTTGTGGCCCAAAACGCATTGCAAGGTTTGGAGGTGATTTGCTTGAAATATTTTTATTTATTTATTTTTAACTTTGAATGAATCTGTTTGCTTCCTGTGGATTCTCCTTAGGCTGTGTTATCAGAGAAGACAATCATATTTTTTTTTAAAAAACCATTGTTTACGTTTGTTATGTACTGTTCTCACCCTGGGGCAGCAGGGGGGGATACTGTAGATAGTTTTCACTCAGGTCCACATATGCAAATAAGGGATTGAAAGTGACGTTCAGTGATTGGATAGTTACAGAACGTGGTTACAGTTGCGTTGTACTGGAGCTCTATATAAGCAGGCTGGCTGAACCCTTCAGTTCAGTTCTGTTCTGGCCTGTGAATAAACAAGAGCTGTTGGAAGGACCGCTGTGTCGTCTGATATGTTCACCCACAACTTAACAACGTTTATATTATGACTTTCAAGTAAGGGGTTCAAGGTGGCATGCAAAGGCTGTGTGCACAGCCAGGAGAGCATAAGACTCTCAATCCCAGGCTCATGGGTTTGAGCCCCTTGTTGGGCAAAAGATTCCTGCATTGCAGGGGGTTGAGGTCCTGGATCAGAACACTGCTCCATCTAGCCCATTATTGTTTACACTGACTGGAAGCAGCTCTCCGGGGTCTCAGGCATGGGGCACTCCCAACGCTACCTGAAGCTACCAGGACTTGAACCAAGGGCTTTCCTCATGCACAGATGCTCTGCCACTGAGCTACCACACTGCACCAAAGTGCTCCTTTGGTGAATCTACTCCCACTTCCCACTTCACACATGTACTCAGCCAGTGTGGTGTAGTGGTTAAGAGCGGTAGTCTCGTAATCTGGGGAACCGGGTTCGCGTCTCCGCTCCTCCACATGCAGCTGCTGGGTGACCTTGGGCCAGTCACACTTCTTTGAAGTCCCTCAGCCCCACTCACCTCACAGAGTGTTTGTTGTGGGGGAGGAAGGGAAAGGAGATTGTTAGCCGCTTTGAGACTCCTGAAGGGGAGTGAAAGGCGGGATATCAAATCCAAACTCCAAACTCTTCTTCTCTTAAGAGTACAATGGTACCTCGGGTTACAGTCGCTTCAGGTAACAGACACTTCAGGTTACAGACTCCGCTAACCCAGAAATGTTACCTCAGGTTAAGAACTTTACCTCAAGATGAGAACAGAAATCGTGCGGCGGTGGTGCGGCGGCAGCAGGAGGCACCATGAGCTAAAGTGGTGCTTCAGGTTAAGAACAGTTTCAGGTTAAGAACGGACCTCCTGAACGAATAAAGTACTTAACCCGAGGTACCACTGTACATGCAAAAGGACTTGGATATGGGTGCCAAAAATTCAAGAACCCTCACAGTTGGATTTGCAACTTAATTTGGGTTGGCTGGTGGCATGAAGAGGAACACTCCTCTTAGGAGGTTTGCAGAAGTACATGAAGTCCTTCTCCTCTTCTTGTTAAGAAAGAACAGACCAACTCAGGGGCAGAACTGAGCAAGTTTAAGTCATTGTGGAATCCTGGGATGACAACTGGAAAAGAAAAATGGAAGGTTGGGCTTGGAGGGAGCAATTTGCTGGAACTCCACAATTGTTTTAGGAGGGAAGATCTGCTGCAAGGTTTTGCCACAGCTCTCGCTTGCATGCCCTCCGACATTTCTCCGATGAAAATAGGGACATCCTATTCCATAATAGGGGTGGCGCTTGGGTTAAACCACAGAGCCTAGGGCTTGCCGATCAGAAGGTCAGCAGTTCGAATCCCCGCGACGGGGTGAGCTCCCATTGCTCGGTCCCTGCTCCTGCCAACCTAGCAGTTCGAAAGCACATCAAAGTGCAAGTAGATAAATAGGTACCGCTCTGGCGGGAAGGTAAACAGTGTTTCCGTGCACTGCTCTGGTTCGCCAGAAGCGGCTTGGTCATGCTGACCACATGACCTGGAAGCTGAATGTCGGCTCCCTTGGTCAATAAAGCGAGATGAGCACCACAACCCCAGAGTCATCCGCGACTGGACCTAATGATCAGGGGTCCCTTTACCTTTACCTTTATTCCATAATAATAATGATAACAACAACAATTTTATTAGTTGTACCCCGCCCATCTGACGGGGTTGCCCCAGCCATTCTGGGCGTCTTCCAACATATACAAAAACATAATAAAGCATTAAAAAACTTCCCTGTGCAGGGCTGCCTTGAGATATCTTCTAAAGATTGTATAGTTATTTATCTCCTTGGCTCAGGGGGTCACATAACTCCATACCCTCTGTGGCGATCACACAGGGTCCCCGGATGTTTCACCGTCTATTGATCCCTGTGCCACCACTTTATTTCTCACTGCCACCACCCAGGCCCTACCTGGTACAATACTGAGTCCACTCAGGGTTAAATTGGAACATAAACTTTTGTTTATTTATTGCAGTTTAACAAGCGTGTGGTTTCATAAATAGTATCTGTCCATTACATTCATGGGGTGCCTATCCAGACCCATAACTTCCGCTACCTGCTCTCACTCACTAAACCACCTCTCAGATATTTACTTGTCTTCCTAGCCCCTCACTGTTCCTGACTCAGCTTATTTTGCTACACTAACTCAGCCTACCCACAGACCCTATCCCAACTCACTCCCACTCCAAACAACCACCCAACCTCCAACAAACCCCCCCATTCACCCCTCCCAGAGCTGGTTTTATAGTCCCTCTGACTCCACCCCCCTGGGTTCTGATTGCGTAACCTGTTTAACTACTTCACCTCCAGCACTCTCATATGTTAACGTCACACCCTCCAACATTTATCCGATGAAAATAGGGACGTCCTAAGGAAAAGCGGGACATTCCAGGATCAAATCAGAAACCGAGACGGCTTCTGTAAATCGGGGACTGTCTCTGGAAAACAGGGGCAGTTGGAGGGTACGTTCTTGTAACCTTAATGCTGGTCCTTGCGCTATTTTTGCAAGGTTGGCATCAGAGATTGTCACCAGTGCCGGATAGCTAAACAAGCTATAGCTTAGGGCCCCACTCTCTTGGGGCCCCCACAAAAAAATTAAAGAAAAAAACAAACCTGGATGTACATTTCTAAAATATAAGATAAAAAACAAATAAAATAAAAGTTACATACAGCAACAGTGTTTGTGTTGTGTTGGCTCCTATGGTGTAAGTAATGGGCCCTGCCTGCTAGCCTGCTCTCTAAAATATCACTGGTTTGCTCATTTCTATACACAGTGGTACCTTGGTTCTCAAACTTAATCCGTTCCGGAAGTCTCTTCCAAAACCAAAGCGTTCCAAAACTTCTTCTTAATTGTATTTCACTATTGACATACTTCTTAATTGTATTTCAGTTCAACAATTACTTTGATAAAACACATACAGTGGTACCTTGGGTTAGAGACGCTTCAGGTCACAGACACTTCAGGTTACAGACTCTGCTAACCCAGAAATAGTACCTCAGGTTAAGAACTTTGCTTCAGGATGAGAACAGAAATTGTGTGGCCACAGCATGGCGGCAGTGGGAAGCCCCATTAGCTAAAGTGGTACCTCAGGTTAAGAACAGTTTCAGGTTAAGAACGGACCTCCAGAACGAATTAAGTTCTTAACCTGAGGTACCACTGTATTTTGTTATGTGCAAATGGCTTTAGAAACCTGTGAGGTCCATAAATTACCATATAGCATATATTCAACACAAAAAACAGCAATTTGTTGTTGACAAAGGACAGCTGGACATAGAACAGGCCCCATTACCTTCAGTAGTTTAGGGCCTCATCAGACCTAAATCCGGCCCTGATTGGCACCTTTGGGCAACTGATAAGTAAGGCCTCAGTGAAGCCACCTTTTAACCACAGCAGCTGCAACTGTTCCAGTAGAGATTTAAGAACCCCAAACCAAAGCAGAGCACCTGTCTATTAATAGCTGTGTAACAGGAAGACGTTCGGTCTTCTCCAGAGATGCGGTAGGTTTCTCCTGTTGAATTCCCGCCTTTCACACGTTTTTTAGGAGCATTGCAAGACAAAAGAAACCCCCCATTTCAGGACGAGTGGAGCGTTTCATTTCCCTACCACCCTGACCTATTTTCTCTGAAGGCACCCACAAGCCTGATGTGGTCGGGAGAATGAACCTAAAGCAAGAAATCTTTCCGTGATCGGCTCG